AAAATAAATGCATATTTTAACATTCTCATTTGAATTTAAGTACTTAATAAATTTTTCTTATTTTTTTTCAAATAGTTGAAAAATTAATTTTTTCCAAAAAATAATTATAATAAAAAATAAATATATACCTATATTGTATAAGCATTCGTCAATAATAAAAATAAAAAGAAAAAAAATAAGATAAAGAAATGTATATTAGAAAAATGAAAAAAGTTATATTTAAAAGAAAAATATACACAAACAAAAATGAGTTTATATTAAGTGAAAAATTGTGACAAATGTAGTATACTGCATGAAAAATACATGCGTATAAAAATTTTTAATTTATAGAGTTTTTTTTTCTTTTTTTGTTGGAGATATATCTCTTTAATATACGAAATTTTATATTTATAAATCATAATATACCTTATATGAAATAATTTAAAGTTCGACATAATTCATAGAGATTGGTAGATTAGAAAAAAAAAATAAAAAAAAACATCTAACATTAAATGTATATCATTTATAATTTTTATATGCATTAAAATAAAAATACCTAATTTCTTTACATAATTTAGAGATAATTAAAAATATAATTAAATATTTTTAAAATATCTTTATCCGATTTATTATATTTTATATTTATTTGTAAATTAACATTCTCATTTTATTTTTTAAAGAATTAAGAATATTATTCCTATCTAAAGTAATCATAATATCATATGTATTAATAAAAAATTACAAATTACATTTCATATATGAAAATATTTTTCTATTTTAAAAATTTAAGAAATTAATATAAGTTATAATAATATCTAAATTAATATTACAAATCCATAATTTAGTATGATTGAACATTGAAAAATCTTAAATCTGAATTAACAACTTTCATTTCAGTATTATTCTATAAATATATTAATATGAAAACATTAACTTTATATTTTAAAATTACAACGTTCCTTCTTTTAATTTGGATGTATCAATGTTTTCATAACGTAAGTTAAAATTTTTGCAAAACATATGCATATAGATATATTTTATTTCTAATTATTTTAAACATACCATTTGATTTACTATTATAGCAAAAGAAACATTCTACTAAAAAAATTTTTATTTAATCCATAGTGTGATACCTATAAAACTTTGATTGATAAAAATATATTGCAAACAAAAAATGAGTTAAAATATGAAAGAGTATTAACAGAGGGTGACATAGCAGCAAAAAGGCAAGCTTACGCTGAAGGATGCCAAAAAGAATGTTCATTAGATTATGAAAAAAACAAATGGGAAAATTTGCTACTACAGGAGAATCCTTACGATCGATGGCAGAAAGTCACTAATCCCAATTTGTTTGAGCGATTTAAAAAAGAAACTAGTGGAATGGATCCTAAATGGATAGACGAAAAATGGAATAATGAATGGAATAATATTTCAGCGAACAAAGTTAGTGATCTATCTTCAATATTTCATCGAAATGATATTTCTGAAGATGAAAAAGAAAAATTAATTTTTAATGTTATGGAAGAACTCTCCAGTCTATATTTGAAATTTCTAGACGAATGTAAGAAAGAGATGAGAGACAATAAATCAGAATCCGAATCTAAGATAGAGATGAGAGAAAATAAAACAGAATCCGAATGTATGAATGAGCAGGGAAAAAATAAAAAAAAAAAAAAGAAATCAAATATTTTGAAATTTCTTTTTTGTAGGTTTGATAACCATTAAGAGTATAAAAATTAATGTTTTAACAGAGAATATAGGATTACTCATGCACAGGATCTAGTAGAAAAAAGAAAAATTAATATATTGTCTAAATTTTTTTTATAGAGATGAATTTTATTTTTTAAAAAAAAAAAAAATTAAAAGATAAAAATTTTTTAGAAAAAAAAAATTTCATGAGAATATTTTTTAATTTTTGAGAATAATTTTTTCGTTAAGTAATATTAATATAATTATAATTTTTTTTCTATTATTTAAGTATTTTTATTATTTTTCGAAGCAGTGAACTTAAATTACTGAAAATGACTTATAAAAAGCAATAAGTATTTTGTACTTAAAAATTAACAATCAATGAGAATATGTGTTTTTAATAAAAATACATAATTTTTATCAAAGTAAATTCACAATGAACCACATATTGCAGTTTACTTATTTATTTCATTAATATTAGATTTAAAATCCATTTAATTACTAGAGAAAACTCCATATTCTCTTTAATAATTTCTTCTTCATTACTCTAGCAAATTCATTGAATGATAATTTAATAAATTAAAAATGTATATTATGGAAAGTAAATAAATCAGGTAATAAATGTAGAGGATAAAATAGAAAAAAAAAATTTGGATGCAGAATTATTACCAGCTGGTTTATTAACTGGATGTTCGGTGACGTTGTGATTTATAAACTGGGTTTTCGTGGACTTTACTCTAGTACTGAACAATCAAATTAATAAAGAGCATGTAGAGTTGCCTCTACGGTTTTGGTGTATTTATATATACTTTTATATACTTTGAACGAGTTATTCTTAATTATGTGATCTACTTCGTTCAGCATTCTTTTATTTCAACAGGTATTTATTTACTTTAATAAAAATCCGTATTGTATATTGATTATGATTTAATTGTTATTTATTTATTTATTTGTTATGAGTTATGTTCACCAATTTAAATATATTGCTGTATAATTAACAAACATAATCAATTAGTAAAAATGCATATAAATTATATGAATATTAATTACGTGAAAATTTTATTGTCATATGTATAAAATTTTCTCTCAAAAATTCAACATATAAATATTATGCAAATTAAACCCTTTTATAAACATATTATTATCTTTTGTAAAAAATAAATCCCTCTCTCCATAAAACTCTTTTCTTCCAAAAAAAAAAAAAAATAAATAAATCTTTTTTTATTTTATTTTTTTTTTTTATCTTTATCTTTTTCAAAGGAAAAATATCTCAAAAAAAAATTCCAGTAATTTATCTTTTTTTTTTTTCTTTTCGTTAGAACAACCAACTAGGTATTCTTCGCATAGCTAGTCCTCTTTATAGCCAAGCATGCTAATGAAGCCTTTTATTAACTAGTACTCTAGCAAAGTCACCGAATACCTAGTTAATAAATCAATACCATAGATCCTTTAGAATAATAATCAAATGTTTCACAAGTTGTAACTAATGAAAATAATTTTTTTTATATTGTGTTCTATTTCCGCTGAATATCACTAAGTTTTCTTGACGTATAATGAACATATTTATATTTATCTATATTGTTTATATTGGTTAATACATTGCTCTAGAAACAATACTATTGACCTTTCTTGTATAATATTTGGACTAACAAATAAAATAAAAACATTTAATTTTGTGCATGTTAATTCTAAAGGACAATTTGCTATCATAAATGTTTTCTATAAAATAGTTATTCAAAAAGTATGTAAACAAAAAATATATGTACATACATACTTGCACTTAAAGTGAGCGTACTTAAAATATTTAAATAATAATATTTTTTTTGTGTGGGTATTTACAATTAAAAAAAAATATATATTATGATTATATTTTTTTCATTACTAAAAAAAAATGTAATCTTAAAAAAAAAAATTAGTTTTCCTTTTTTTTTTTTTTTTGCAGGATAATGTGCAGACTACTATGGAATGTATATTTTTATATTAAGCTAAAATGTAATATTAAGGAAATTACATTTTATACTATTGCATACATAAAAAAAAAATAATTAACTAAGTAATATTCAATGTTTATTAATAAAAATAATGATTTTATATTTAAATTAAGTAGAGTTTACACTATATTTTCCTTATTAATTTATTTTTTTGAAACGAGAAAAGTAATTTAACAACCATTAATAAATCAGAACTATAAATAATTTCTTTTCCTTAGGAATATTATCCTTTTTATAATAATTATAATACTTCATGAACTGTTATTTGGATAATTTAAGTTTCTATATCTCCAATACACACAGTATTCAAATTATTTTAATATTATGTAATATATGTTTTAAATATAAGATACTTTTATATTCTACATATTTCTACTAGTAAGAACAACATCTAGATATAATATTAAAAAAATATAAATCATAAAAAATATACTTTTATTAAATTTATGATTATTTCTTAGAGAAGAATTAGCATTAAAATATTAAAAATGATAGTATTTATACACACCACTTTTTATTAATAATACGTCAAAGATTCTAACAAATTAAATATAAAAAATAAAAATTCTTATTAAAATTCTTCATTAATATTAACAAATATTTCTTATAAAATTTATCCTTTTAAGAAAAAGCTTATATTAGAAAGGAACAATTGATGAGTTTATTTATACTATATAAATGGATTACCTAATCTTTTTGCTAAGTAAATTGAAAAATAAAAAATCGTGCTATAAATATATAAAACTAAAAATAAAAAAGAAAATAAACATATCGTAACAATAATCAAAACTTATCAAATAAATATATAAAGGCAAAAAAAAAAAAATAAAATAAAATAATTTTTTTTTATATTTAATTATAAGATTATAGTAATATATATGCAAAAAGTTATTTTATAATTCTATTTTATCTTTATTTATTGATATTTTTTATATCACAATAAAAAGGTATTCTTTTAAATTTTATAAGAAAAAATCTATTATATTTAACTAAAGATATATTTTTATATTCAGTATATAACATTTATATTAATTTTAAAACTAATAAATATTACTCGTAAAAAAGTAAATTTATAAAAATGTATTTTTAGAATAAATTCAGTAACTTTGTCAAAAAAAATAATTTTTTTTAAAAAATATTTTTTACTTTAAATATATGATTAAGAAAATAGTTTTTTTTTTTTTTTTTTTAAATTGTAATTAATTTATTTGACTTCAAAATGTGATTTTTATAAGATTTGTTATTATAATTTCTTTAAAGTAAATACCTATTTTAACATTTTCTTTTTAATTTAAGTACTTAATAAATTTTTCTTATTTTTTTTAAAATAGTTGAAAAAGTAATTTTTCGTATCTAATAAAATACATCCTTATGGTAACATTAACTAAATATAACAAGAAAACAAGAAATGATAACATGCACATGATTATATCAAAAATGAAAGAAAATAAATTAAAATAATTATAGTCATTTAAAAATATCTATAATTATGTTAAACACAAAAAATAAAATTCAAAATCAAATCATTTTATTTCAGAATTTATTACAAGTTATATTCAAATTAAAAAAATGATCTAGTATATATTTTTTTTTAATAAAACATAAATTTCATAATTTTTCATGTTGTGTGCGTACATTCTCAATAAAATACTGGAAAATTCAGATTAATTAAAAAGAAAACAAAATTTAATCATAGATTGATCAATAACATTTTTTAATTTACTCAATGAGGATTAAAAAAAAAAAAAAAGATGTATGTATAAATATATTTTAAATGCACTAAAATACTTTTTACCTAAAAAAGCCCACTTTAGGTGAAACACAAAATTTTTTTTGATAAAAATTTAATATGATATTTTTTTTTTTTTTTTTTTTTTTTTTTATTTTTCTTGTTTATTTTTATCTTTTTTGTTATACATAAAATTTAAAACAAAAAAAAAAAAAAAAATAAGCATTATGTTAAAATAATTCTTTTTTTTTTTATGTATATTTTAAAATTTACACAGTAATTTTTTTTTTTTTTTATAATTAATATTTTATAAATTTTTTTTAATGAAAAAAANAAGAATGTTGAACGAAGTAGAGCAAATACTTAAGAATAACTCGTTCAAAGCATTTAAAAATGTATATAAATACAACAAAATCGTAGAGGCATCTCTACTAGTAATATATATGCAAAAAGTTATTTTATAATTCTATTTTATCTTTATTTATTGATATTTTTTATATCACAATAAAAAGGTATTCTTTTAAATTTTATAAGAAAAAATCTATTATATTTAACTAAAGATATATTTTTATATTCAGTATATAACATTTATATTAATTTTAAAACTAATAAATATTACTCGTAAAAAAGTAAATTTATAAAAATGTATTTTTAGAATAAATTCAGTAACTTTGTCAAAAAAAATAATTTTTTTTAAAAAATATTTTTTACTTTAAATATATGATTAAGAAAATAGTTTTTTTTTTTTTTTTTTTAAATTGTAATTAATTTATTTGACTTCAAAATGTGATTTTTATAAGATTTGTTATTATAATTTCTTTAAAGTAAATACCTATTTTAACATTTTCTTTTTAATTTAAGTACTTAATAAATTTTTCTTATTTTTTTTAAAATAGTTGAAAAAGTAATTTTTTTAAAAAATAGTTATAACAGAAAATATATATATAAATATATTGTATAAATATTTATCAATAATAAAAATAAAAAAAAAAAGAATTAAGATAAAAAAAAGTATATTAGAAAAATCAAAAAAGTTATATTTATATGAAAAATATTGGCAAACAAAAATTAGTTTTTTATTAAGTGAAAAATTGTGACAACTGTAGTATACTGCATGACAAATACATGCGTATAAAAATTTTTAATTTATAGATTTTTTTCTTCTTTTTTTGACGGAGATATATCTATATATTATATGAATATTTATATTTATAAATCATAATATACTGTATATAAAATAATTTAAAGTTCGACATAATTCACAGAAATTGGTAGTTTAGAAAATAAAAATAAAAAAAATCGTTTAATATTAAATGTATATCACTTATAATTTTTATGTGAATTAAATTAAAAATATTTAATTTTTTTACATAATTTAAAGATAAATAAAATTTTAATAAAATATTTTTAAAATAACTTTAACCTATTTATTATCTTTTTTAGCTATTCGTAAATTAACATTCTTATTTTATTTTTTAAAGATTTAAGAATATTATTTCTATATAAAGTAACCATAATATCATAAGTAATAATAAAAAATTAGAAATTACATTTCTCATATAAAAATAATTTCCTATTTTATAAATTTTAGAAAATAATACAAGTTATAACAATATCTAGATTAATATTACTAATCCATAATTTAGTATTATTCAGAATTGAAACAGTTTTACACCTGAATTTACAACTTCCACTTTAATATTATTTAATAAATATATTAATATGAAAACGTTAACTTTATATTTAAAAATTACTACATTCCTTCTTTTAATATGGATGTATCAATGTTTTTATAACGTAAGTTAAAATTTTTACAAAAAATATACATATAGATATATTTTATTTCTAATTCTTTTTAACATTTCATTTGATTTGCTATTCTAATAAAAGAAACATTCTTTTAAGAAATTTTTATTTAATCCATAGTGTGATTACTATAAAACATGGACTGATAAAAATATATTGCAAACAAAACATGAGTTAAAATATGAAAGAGTATTAACAGAGGGTGACATAGCAGATAAAAACCAAACTAAAGCTGAAGGATGTCTAGAGGAATGCCCATCATATAATAAAAAAAAAAAAAAAAAAAATCGATTTCAAAACCAGAATCCATCTCATGGAGTCAAAACTCCATCATTGTGGGAGAATTTTGATAAAAAAGCAAAAGTAATGGACCCTAATTTGAGAGACCATGAATTGAATATTGAATGGAATAATATTTCACGTGACAAAGTTATTAATCTATCTTCAAAAATTTATCAACAAAATATTCCAGATGATGGAAGACAAATTTTAGTTCTTAGTGATACGAAAGATCATTCAGAATTAAAGAAATTATTAGACGTATTTAAGAAAGAGATAAGAGACAATAAAACAGAATCCGAATCTAAAAAAGAGATGAGAGAAAATATAACAGAATCCGAATATATGAAAGATATGATAGACAATAAAACAGAATCCGAATCTATGAAAGAGATGATAGACAATAAAACAGAATCCGAATCTATAAAAGAGATGGGAGACAATAAAACAGAATCCGAATCTAAGAATGATATGGGGGACAATAAAACAGAATCCGAATCTAAGAAAGAGATGACAGACAATAAAACAGAATCCGAATCTAAGAAAGAGATGACAGACAATAAAACAGAATCCGAATCTAAGAAAGAGATGACAGACAATAAAACAGAATCCGAATCTAAGAAAGAGATGACAGACAATAAAACAGAATCCGAATCTAAGAAAGAGATGACAGACAATAAAACAGAATCCGAATCTAAGAAAGAGATGACAGACAATAAAACAGAATCCGAATCTAAGAAAGAGATGACAGACAATAAAACAGAATCCGAATCTAAGAAAGAGATGACAGACAATAAAACAGAATCCGAATCTAAGAAAGAGATGACAGACAATAAAACAGAATCCGAATCTAAGAAAGAGATGACAGACAATAAAACAGAATCCGAATCTAAGAAANATTTTATCTTATATATTTTTTTTACTAAATAGTTCAATAAATGATTTATGTTTTTAAAAGTTATGCTTTAACCATATTTTAAATAAATGTACGACTGACAATAAAACAGAATCCGAATCTAAGAATGATATGGGGGACAATAAAACAGAATCCGAATCTAAGAATGATATGGGGGACAATAAAACAGAATCCGAATCTAAGAATGATATGGGGGACAATAAAACAGAATCCGAATCTAAGAATGATATGGGGGACAATAAAACAGAATCCGAATCTAAGAATGATATGGGGGACAATAAAACAGAATCCGAATCTAAGAATGATATGGGGGACAATAAAACAGAATCCGAATCTAAGAATGATATGGGGGACAATAAAACAGAATCCGAATCTAAGAATGATATGGGGGACAATAAAACAGAATCCGAATCTAAGAATGATATGGGGGACAATAAAACAGAATCCGAATCTAAGAATGATATGGGGGACAATAAAACAGAATCCGAATCTAAGAATGATATGGGGGACAATAAAACAGAATCCGAATCTAAGAATGATATGGGGGACAATAAAACAGAATCCGAATCTAAGAATGAAATGACAGAAAATAAAAAAAAAAAAAAGAAATCAAATATTTTGAAATTTCTTTTTTGTAGTTGTGATAACCATTGAGAGAATAAAAATTAATATTTTAACAGAGAATATAGGATTATTCATGCACAGGATCTAGTTAAAAAAAAGAAAAATTAATATATTTTATAAATTTTTTTTATAGAGATGTATTTTATTTTTTTAAAAGAAAAAAAATTAAAAGAGAAAAATTTTTTAGAAAAAAAAAATTTCATGAGAATATTTTTAAATTTTTAAGAATAATTTTTTCATTAATTAATATTAATATAATTAAAATTTTTTTTTTATTATTTAAGTATTTTTATTATTTTTCAAACAAATGAACTTAAATTACTGAAAATTACTTATAAAAAGCTATAAATATTTTGTACTTAAAAATTAATAATTTAATGAGTATAAATGTTTTTAATGAAATTACATATTTTTTATTAAAGTAAATTCACAATGAACCGCATTGTTGCAGTTTACTTGTTTATATCATTAAAATTAGATTTAAAATTCATTTAATTACTAGAGAAAACTCCATATTCTCTTTAATAATATGTTTTTCATTACTATAGTAAATTCATTGAATGATAATTTAATAAATTAAAAACGTAAATTATGGAATGTAAATAAATCAGGTAGTAAATATAGAGGATAAAATAGAAGAAAAAAAGTTGGATGCAAAATTATTACGAGCTTACCTACATGACAAAAAAAGGACGCAAAAAGGAAAAAAAAAAAAGTCTTTATTTAGAATTATTAGAGATAAAGATTTGTTAATAAAAGGAATTATTAGCCTTCTTGAGAAATAAATTAATAGCTATATGGAAAATAAATAGACATGAAATTACTAGATAAATGAAAAAAAATAGAAATGAATAGTGTGAAAAAAATATTAAAGTTATTTAAAAATAGAAGAAAAATTGATAAAAAGTTTTTTCGTGGAAAATTTTCATCATTGAATTTTAAAGAGAAAATTTTATATTAACAATAATAAAATTTTCGTGTTTGTAGTATTGTATAACTTATTTTGTGTTTTGTTATTTATATTTGTTAATTCGCGAGAAGTGAATTTGAATTTTTAAATATTAATCATAACACTAAAGTAAAATATATGTAATTTAAAACTATAATTTATAAGGATTTGAATTTTTAATAAAAATAGGGATTTTCATTAAAATAATTAAAGGCCTCTTAAAAACAATAAATGCTCAATAAAGGAGACCATATACATTTCAATGGTTTATAGTATTAAAAACATATTTAAACTCATTTAAATGGTAGAAGAAACTCTACATGCTCCTTGTAAATCCTTTTTTTCAATGCTCTAGTAATATAATGAATAGGAAATTAATAAACCATTAATTACATTTATTCTACTTATATTATGATTTATATTTAACAATTCAAATTTATTGATCTCAAATTAACTAGCATAGATAATTGACAAAATTCAAATTAAATTACATAAGTACTACGAAACACAAAAATTTTATTATAGTTAATATAAAATTTTCTTATTAAAATTAAATAAATGTACACTACAATAAGCTTTTTTAGTCAATAACTTTTTCATCTATTTTTAGACCACTAAATTCCTATTAAAAAAAGTAAAAATTTATTTTTTTGAGTATTTAAATTACAAAAGTAAAAAAAACATTAATGAATTTTTTTCTTTTTTTTTTACTTAACATTTGCATGTTGGTTAATAAACTGCATTATTAACCTTTTTGAAAATAAAGAATAATAGTTGTATGGAAAATATATAGTTATACATGTAAATTCTAGATACAAATAAAAAAATAAAAAGAAAAAAAAATTTAATTGTTAATTTCTTTGTTTTCCTTTTCTAATTTTTAAATAAAAAAAAAAAATATTTTTACTTTTTTTTTTGAAATGATTAATTTTTCAGTTGAAATATTAACTTATTTATTTCTTATTCAATAACTTTGCTAGAATATTGTTTTATTAATTGGGTGTTCGGTGACTTTGCTAGAGTACTGAACAAACAAATTAATAAAGAGCATGTCGAGTTGCTTCTAAGGTTCTTATGTGTGTATATATTTTTTTAAATGCTTTGAACATTTGATCCTTAATTATGTAATCTACTTCATTCAGCGTTTTTTAATTTCAATAGACATTTATTTACTTTAATAAAAATCCTTATTTTTATTAAAAATTTAAATCCTTATTAAACGTTAATTATTAATTAATTGTAAATTACTTGTTTCTTTGTTATGATTTTCATTTAGTAATTAATATATATTGCTGTTGAATTATGAAACATTAACAATTAATAAAAATGCATATTAATTATACGAATATTAATTACATGAAAATTTTATTGTTATATGTATAAAATTTTCTTTTTGCTAAATTCATCACAAAATATATTTCATACCCTAAAAAAAAAATTCATTATTTTTTTTTTTTTTGTTTATTGGTAACAATTTTTTTTCCATTTGATTATTTTATTATCAATTTTTTTTTTTTTTCTGACGGTCTTTGTACACTTTTTTTAAAAAAAAAGTACAAACAAAAAAAAATTGATCGTGAATTTTTTTTTTTTTTTGTGTGTGCATGACCAACTTCGTATTCTTCATTTAAATAGTCCTTTTATTTTCCAAAAAGGTTAATAAAGCCTTTTATTAACCGCTTGGCCAAGAGATAGACCGAAATCATATAAGACCTTCATTAGATAAGGTGAAAACAATTATTGAGGAAGAACTATCTAAATCTAAATAGAAATTAATATCATTCTTAGGAGATGCTAATTAATACAGTAATTATATTAAGAACTTTTCAAAATAGACTTCTAAACTAGTTCTATTGTTAACTAAGAAACAGAAATTTTGAATGGAAAGAAGAGAATTCAAAGTCTTTGAAGCAAATCAAGTATAAAATGAAGGAAATGGCTTATTTTTCATTTCGAGAATTAGGAAAACCATATACTATTTATACTGACGCATTAGATTATGCTATAGAAGCTGTGTTGACTCAAATTGATAAGGACACAGGTCAAACTAGCTTCATTCATTGCACATCGAAGAAATTAAATGGAGTTCAACAAAGATGGAACACGATTGAAAAAGAATTATTTGCTATAGTAGTGATTTATTAATTGGGTGTTCGGTGACTTTGCTAAAGTGCTGAACAAACAAATTAATAAAGAGCATGTAGAGTTGCCTCTACGATTTTGATGTATTTATATATATTTTTATATACTTTGAACGATTAATTCTTAATTATGTGATTAGTTAATAAAAGGCTTTATTAACCTTTTTCGTAATAAAAAGACTAGCTATATTAAGAATACGTAGTTTGTTATGCATATACGAAAAAAAAAAAAAAAATTAAATAAAATAATTGAATTTTTTTTTGATTTTTTTTCTTTTAATAAATGGACATACTTAAAAAAAAAATATATTTATTTTTTTTAAATGATTTAATTGAGAAGAAAAAGAATGGTAAAATAAAAATTAAGAGTAAGATTTAGTATCAATAAAAATTAGATCTTAAACATATAATAATGTTTACATAAAAGAGTTTAATTTGCATAATATTTATATTTTTAATTTGTGAGAGAAAATTCTATACATATGACATAAAATTTTCACGTAATTAATATTCATATAATTAATTTGAATTTTTACTAATTGTTTATGTTTGTTAATTCAACAGCAATATATTTAAATTGCTGAACATAACTCATAACAAAGAAATAGATAAATCACAATTAAATAATAATCAATATACAATAAGGATTTTTATTAAAGTAAATAAATACCTATTGAAATCAAAGAATGCTGAACGAAGTAGATCACATAATTAAGAATCACTCGTTCAAAGCATATAAAAATAAATATAAATACATCAAAATCGTACAGGCATCTCTACATATTTTTTATTAATTTGTTTGTTCATTATTCTAGCAAAGTCACCAAACATCCAGATAATAAATCACTACTCTAGCAATGTCAACGAACACCCAGTTAATAAATCAATACCATAGATACTTTAGTATAATAATCAAATGTTTCACAAGTTGTAACAATTGAAAATTATTTTTTTTATATTGTACTCTATTTCCGCTGAATGTCACTAAGTTTTCTTGACGTATAGTGAACATATTTAGCTTTACCTATATTGATTATATCGGTTAATACACTTCTCTAAAAATAATACTATTTACCATTTTTGTATAATATTTAGACGAATAAATAGAATAAAAACATTCTATTTTGTGCATGCTATTTCGCAAGGACAATTTGCTATAATAAATGTTTGCTCTAAAATAGTTATTCAAAAAGTATGTAAACAAAAAATATATGTACATACATACTTGCACTTAAAGTGAGTGCGCTTAAAAAAAAAAAAATAAATAATAATATTTTTTTTGTAAGGGTATTTACAATTAAAAAAAAATATATATTATAATTATATTTTTTTCATTACTAAAAATAAATGTAATCTTAAAAAAAAAATTAGTTTTTCTGTTTTTTTTTTTTGGAGGATAATGCGCAGACTACTATAGAATGTATATTTTTATTTTACGCTAAAATGTAATATTAAGGAAATTACATTTTAGAGTGTTGCTTATATTAAAAAAAAAAATATTCAACTAATAAGTCATATTTAATGTTTATTAATAAAAATAAAAAATTTATATTAAAATTAAGTAGAGTTTACACTACATTTTCCTTATTAATTTATTTGTTTAACACGAGAAAAGTATTTTAACAGCCATTAATAAATCAGAGCTATAAATAATTTCTTTTCCATAGGAATATTATCTTATTTATAATAATTATAATAATTTTAATACATCATCAACTGTTATTTGGATAATTTATGTTTCTATATCTACAATACATACACTATTGAAATTATTTTAATATCATGTAATATCTATGTTAAACGTAAGGTACTTTTATATTTTACATATTTCTACTAGTAAGAACAATATCTAGATATAATATTAAAAAAATATAAATCATAAAAAATATACTTTTATTGAATTTATGATTATTCTTTAGAGAAAAATTAGTGTTAAAATATTAAAAATGATAGTATTTATACACACAACTTTTTATTAATAATACATCAAAGATTCTAACAAATTAAATTTAAAAAATAAAAATTCTTATTAAAATTCTCCATTATTATTTAATATTTCTTATAAAATTTAGCCTTTTAAGAAAAAAGTTATATTAGAAAGGATCAATTGATGAATTCTTTTATACTATATAAATGATTTACCTAAATTTCGTGAGTAAAATGAAAAATAAAAAATTGTCCTATAAATATATAAAACTAAAAATAAAAAAGAAAATAAACATATCGTAATAATAATCAAAACTTATCAAATAAATATATAAAGGCAAAAAAAAAAAAAAAAAATAAAATAATTTTTTTTTACATTTAATTAAAAGATTATAATAATATATATTCAAAAAGTTATTTCATAATTCTGTATTATCTTTATTTATCAATAATTTTTATAGCACAATAAAAATGCATTCTTTTGAATTTCATAAGGAAAAACCTGTTATATTTAACTAAATATATATTTTCATATTCAGTAAATAACATTAATATTAAAATTGAAACTGATAAGTATTACTCGTAAAAAAGTAAATTTATAAAAATGTATTTTTAGAATAAATTAAGTAAATTTGTCAAAAATAAAACTCTTTAAAAAATATTTTTTACTGTAAATATATGATTAAAAAAATAGTATTTTTTTTTTTTTTTTTTTTTAAATTATAATTAATTTATGTGACTTCAAAATGTGCTTTTTATAAGATTTGTTATTATAATTCCTTTAAAGTAAATAACTATTTTCACTTTTTCTTTTGAATTTAAGTACTTAAAAAATTTTTCTTATTCTTTTTCAAATATTTGAAAAAGTAATTTTTTTTAAAAAATAGTTATAATAAAAAATAAATATATACATATATTTTATAAACATTTATCAATAATAAAAATAAAAAAGAAACAATTACGATAAAAAAAATATATTCGAAAAATAAAAAAAGTTATATTTTAAAGAAAAATATATATAAACAAAAATTAGTTTCATATTAAATGAAAAATTCTGACAAATGTAGTATACTGCATGACAGGTAAATACGTATAAAAATTTTTAATTTATAGATTTTTTTTTCTTTTTTTAATGGAATATATCTCTATAAAATACGAAGATTTATATTTATAAATCATAATATACCGTATATAAAATAATTTAAAATTCGAGATAATTCACAAAAATTGGTAATTTAGAAAAAAAAAATTAAAAAAATCCTTTAATATTAAATGTATATCATTTATAATTTTTATGAGCATTAATTTGAAAATATTTAATTTTTTTACATACTTTAAAGATAAATAAAATGTTCTTAAAGTAACTTTATTCGAATTATTATCTTTTTTATCTATTCGTAAATTAACATTCTTATTTTATTTTTTAAAGAAATAAGAATATTATTCTTATCTAAAGTAACCATAATATCATATGTAATAATAAAAAATTAGAAATTACATTTCATATATGAAAAAAATTTTCTATTTTAAAAATTTAAGAAATTAATATAAGTTATAATAATATTTAAATTAATATTACAAATCCATAATCTAGTTATATTGAAAATTGAAACAATTTTAAATCTGAATTAACAACTTCAACTTGAATATTATTATATAAATATATTAATATGAAAACGTTAACTTTATATTTAAAAATTACTACATTCCTTCTTTTAATTTGGATGTATCAATGTTTTTATAACGTAAGTTAAAATTTTTACAAAAAATATACATATAGATATATTCTATTTCTAATTCTTTTTAACATTCCATTTGATTTACTATTCTAACAAAAGAAACATTCTTTTAAAAAATTTTTATTTAATCCATAGTGTAATTCTTATAAAACTTTGATTGATAAAAATATACTGGAAGCAAAAAATGAGTTAAAATATGAGAGATTATTAGCAGAGGGTGACATAGCAGATAAAAAGCAAACTAAAGCTGAAGGAGGCCTAGAAGAATGTGCATTAGAGAGTGAAAAAAACAAATCTAATAATTCAGCTCAATACAAGAATCCGTGTGATCCACGTCATGGAGTCAATACTCCATCATTGTGGGAGAATTTTGATAAAAAAGCAAAAGAAATGGACCCTAAATTGAGAGACCAAGAATTGAATATTGAATTGAGTAAAATTTCACATGACAATGTTAATCCATTTTCAAAAATTTATCAACGAAATATTCCAGATGAAGGAAGAGAAATATTAATTCTTAGTAATACGCAAGGTCACTCAGAATTAAAGAAATTATTAGACGTATTTAAGAAAGAGATGAGAGACAATAAAACAGAATCCGAATCTAAGAACGAGTAGGGAAAAAATAAAGTAAAAATTAAGAAATTAAATATTGGGAAATATTTATTTTTTTATAAGTATGAAAAAATTTACGAGAATAAAAATTAATGGTTTAACAGAGAACATAAGATTATTCATGTACATGATCTAGTTAAATAAAAAAAAAATTAGTATTTTGTCTAAATTTTTTTTATAGAGATATATTTTATTTTTTAAAAAGAAAAAAAAAAATTAGGAGAGAAAAATTTATTAGAATGAAAAAATTTCATGAGAATAATTTTTAATTTTTAAGAATAAAATTTTCATTAAGTGATATTGATATAAATAAAATTTTTTTTTTATTAAGTATTCTAATTATTTCTAAAAGCAGTGAACTTCAATTACTGAAAATTACTTATAAAAAGCAATAAATATTTTGTACTTAAAAATTAATAATTAAAGAGAATATACGTTTTTAATAAAAATACATAATTTATATCAAAGAAAATTCACAAAAAACCGCATTATTGCAGTTTATTTGTGTATAACATTAAGGTTATTTTTAAAATCTATTTAATTACTAGAGAAAACTCCATATTATCTTTAATAATTTCATTTCGTTACTCCAGCAAATTCATTGAATGATAATTTAATAAATTAAAAATGTAAATTATGGAAAGTAAATAAATCAGGTAGTAAATGTAAAGGATAAAATAGAAGAAAAAACGTTGGATACAGAATTAGGTCCAGCTTACTTACATGACAAAAAAAGGACACAAAAAAGAAAAAAAAAGTCTTTATTAAGAATTATTAGAGTTAAAGATTTGTTAATAAAAGGAATTATTAGCCTTCTTGAGAAATAAATTAATAGCTGTATGGGAAATAAATAGAAATGAAATTAATAGATAAATGAAAAAAAATAGAAATGAATAGTGTGAAAAAAATATTAAAGTTATTTAAAAATAGAAGAAAAATTGATAAAAAGTTTTTTCGTGGAAAATTTTCATCATTGAATTTTAAAGAGAAAATTTTATATTAACAATAATAAAATTTTCGTGTTTGTAGTATTGTATAACTTATTTTGTGTTTTGTTATTTATATTTGCTAATTCGCGAGAAGTGAATTTGAATTGTTAAACATTAATGATAAAATTGCAAGTAAAATATATGTGATTTAAAACAATAATTAATAAATATTTAAATTTTTAATAAATATTAGGGAATTTTATTAAAATAATCAAATGCCTCTTAAAAACAATAAATGCTCAATGAAGAAGACCATAGACATTTCAATGGTTTATAGTATTAAAAACAAATTTAAATTCAATTAAATGGTTGAAGAAACTCTACATGCTCATTGTTAATCCTTTTATTCAATACTCTAGCAAAGTAATGAATAGGAAATTAATAAACCATTAATTACATTTATTTAACTTATATTGTGATATATATTCAAGAATTCAAATTTATTGCGCTCAAATTAACTAGTATAAATAATTGATACAATTCAAATTAAATTACGTAAGTACTACAAAAAACAAAAATTTTATTATAGTTAATATAAAATTTTCTTATATAAATTTAAACAAAAATACACCACAATAATCTTTTTTAGTCAATAACTTTTTCTTTTATTTTTCGACCAATAAATTCCTTTTAAAAAAAGTAAAAGTTTATTTTTTTGTGCTTTTAAATTACAAAAATAAAAAAAACATTAACTAATTTTTTTTTTCTTTTTTTTTTTTTACTTAACTATTGCATGTTGGTTAATAAACTGAATTATTAACCTTTTTCAAAATAAACAATAATAGTTGTATGGAAAATATATAGTTATACTTGTAAATTCTAGATACAAATAAAAAAATAAAAAGAAAAAAAAATGTAATTGTTAATTTTTTTGTTTTCTTTTTCTAATTTTTAAATACAAAAAAAAAATATATGTACTTTTTTTTTGAAAAGATTAATTTTTGAGTTGAAATATTAATTTATTTATTTCTTATTCAATAACTTTGCTGGAGTACTGCTTTATTAACTGGGTGTTCGGTGACATTACTCTAGTACTGAACAAACAAATTAATAAAGAGTATGTAGAGGTGCCTCTACGATTTTAGTGTATTTATATATAATTTTATATGCTTTGAACGAGTGATTCTTAATTATGTGCTCTACGTCGTTCAGCATTCTTTGATTTCAATAGGCATTTATTACTTTAATAAAAATTCTTTTTTTCATTGAAAATTTAAATCTATATTGAACATTCTTTATTAACTAATGGTAAATTACTTGTTTCTTTGTTATGAGTTTCATTCAGCAATTAATATATATTGCTGTTGAATTAACAAACATAGACAATTCTTGACAATATAAAGAAAATTATATAAATATTTATTATATGAAAATTTTATTGTTATATGTATAAAATTTTCTTTTGCAAAATTCATGACAAAATATATTTCATTCCCTAAAAAAAAAATTCATTTTTTTTTTTTTTTATTTATTGGTAACAAATCTTTTTCCAGTTTATTTTTTTTTTATATATTTTTTTTTTTACTGTGGGTCTTTGTACTTCTTTTTAAATAAAAAAAAAAAAAAAAAAATTAATCATGAATTTTTTTTTGTGTGTGTGCATGACCAACTTCGTATTCATCATTAAACTAGTCCTTTTATTTTCCAAAAAGCTTAATAAAAGCCTTTTATTAACCACAAAGTCACCGAACACCCAGTTAATTAATCAATTGCTTAATACATTGCTCTATATACGATACTGTTGAACTTTTTTGTATAATTTATGACGAATAAATTGAATAAGAACATTTTATTTATTGCATGTTAATTCGCAAGGACAATATGATATAATAAATGTCTTCTCTAAAATAGTTATTCAAAAAGCATGTAAACAAAAAAAATATGTATATACACACTTGCACATAAAGTAAGCGCACTTAAAAAAAAATAAATAAATAATAATATTTTTTCTGTGTTGGTATTTACAATTAAAAAAAAATATATATTATGATTATATTTTTTTTATTACAAAAAAAAAATATAATTTTAAAAAAAAAAAAAATTAA